CATGGGAGATCTTTCAACTTTTCTGGTGTCTTCTTCAAATTTTCAAATGGCTGAAAGATACCTAAGAAAATGCTCAATATCTGATGTGGGAGTCCCCTCTGTGTGCTGTGATTATCATTAATGAATAAAGAAATTGCCTTGCCCTGTTGATAGGGCAGAAATTAGGTAGGCAGGGAAGACAGAAATGAATGCTGAGAGGAATAAGGGCGGAGTCAGAGGGACACTATTTAGCTGCCACTGCCGGAGATAGACATGCTGAAACTTTGCTGGTAGGCCATGACCTCATGATGATGCACAGATTAATGGAAATGGGTTAAATTAATATGTAAGTGTTAGGCAATAAGAAGTTAGAGCTAATGGGCCAAGCAGTGATTTAATTAATACAATTTCTGTGTGATTATTTTGGGTGTAAGCTAGTCAGGTGGCCAGAAAGAACAAGCGGCTCACTCCTCTGCAACAAACATCCTTAGCTATTAGAAAAATGCAAATTAAAACAACTCTGAGATCCCATCTTGTACCTGTAAGAATGGCCAAGATCAAAAACACTGATGAGAGCTTATGCTGAAGAAGATGTGGGGTAAGGGGAAAAATCCCCTCCATTGCTGGTGGGAGTGCAAATGTATACAGCCACTTTAAAACTCAGTATGGTAATTTCTCAGAAAATTAGGAAACAATCTACCTCAAGACCCAGCAATACCACTTTTGGGTATATACACAAAGGAAACTCATTCATACCACAAGGACATGTGCTCAACTATGTTCATAGCAGCATTATTTGTCATAACAAAAACTTGGAAACAACCTAGATACCCTCAATGAAAGAATGGATAAAGAAACTGTGATACATTTACACAGTGGAGTACTACATAACGGGAAAAAATAATGGTAACTTGAAATTTGCAGGCAAATAGATGGATCTAGAAAAAATGATATTGAGTGAGGTAACTCAAACCCAGAAAGTCAAATATAATATGTACTCACTCAAAAGTGGCTTTTAGACATAAAGCAAAAAAAAAAAAAAACAGGCTACAATTCACAATCCCAGAGAACCTAGACAACAAAGAGGATACTTGGAGAGACACAGATTAATCTAAATAGGAAAAAGAAAAAGACAAGATCTCCTGAGTAAATTGGGAGCATAGGAGTCATGAAACAAGGGAGAATGGGAGGGTATGGAAAAGAGAAGAGTGGTAAAAACAATAAAAATAAAAAATATGCCATTTAAATAAACGCATAGATCCTATATTGTCCCGACCAGCAGGAAACGAACCAGAGTCCCTAGTAACCTGGAAGAGAGAGGAATGGAGGGGCAAGAGACACAAGAAATGGACAGCAAGTCTGTATTTCTGATCAAACTGCCAATTTTATTTTTTTCTCAGGAACATTTATATAGCAAACAGGCAGGGAAGAGGATAGGATGCTGGAATGTCAGGTATATCTGATATGAAGAGATTGTTTTAATTCCAATGTAATCAATAAAGCATGCCTTCGGAGACAGACAGGTGATGACATCGGCTGCAGGGCATTAATCAAGTCTAGCTTCTTTTTTTGTCCCACATCATGAGAGACTTGGTTTTCTGTACTGTTAGCTTCTTTTTTTCCCTGAAGATAAATTTTTGGTCATCCCCTAACTTGTAATTTCCTTGGTCTGAAGATTCACCTCTTATACTGACTCTTGGTATTTGTTTCCACTTTTGCAAGGCTAGGGTGAGAACCTGATGCCTTCCTCTACTGTTGGTTGAGTTTGTTTCTCCTGCCTCACTGGGTGTCTGATGCTAGGGGTACATGGAGAGGTTTCATAAAACTGTCCTGCACATCACTCCTACAGCAGCCACCATAGGCAAAACCTTCTTATCTGCATATTTTCCTTGCTGACCTCATGAGATGGTGGTGGTTCTCTCATTCCCATGGGTTATTGGACAAGACACTATAGTCCCCATTCACCATAACTGTGAATGTGGTTGTGATCAGGTTCTTAATTTTGGAGCTGCTTGACCAGCAACTGATCCTTTGACACCACAAGTCCATGTGTTGTGACTTGTTCTGTAGTGGTGTGTCCTTTCTGAAAGCACTTCAGGTTCTCAAGTGTGACCTCAACCCAGCTCTCAGGAGTTTCCATCTGTCCCACTATTACCATGGGCCAGGCTGCAGGGTGGGGCAAACACTCTCTCCAACATTCAGTAGTATAGTTCCAGGGAAGAAGAATTGTCCCAAGTCCATGTTGTCCTTAGACTGTGGGTTAAAGACACAGTGTGGCCTCAGCAGCAGGTTACTGTGTATTCACATCTCCTGAGAAAACAGAACACACAGCTACTGTCTCTGCTCTCTATTTCACCCCATTGAGACTTTTGTGCTAGCCAAGGGTGGTGGAGCATGCTTGTAGTCCCAGCACTAGGGAGGCTGAGGCAGAAAGATTATGATTTGGAGGCCACTTTGAGCTATGGAGTGAGACTATGCCCAAAGCAAACAAACTGAAACCAAAATGAAAAAAAAGAAAACCTATCATTTAATTATACAACTATAAACAAGAGTTAGAAAAAAACAAAACAAAACAAAAAATCCAAAGTCACTCTTGTAACTATAATCCTACCCAGATTCTTTGTTTTTTTTTAAAGATCCTTCCAGGTTGTTTAATTCACACATGCTTCATTTTCCATGCAGTTAAAGTTTATAGCAAGTCTTGTACCTTGAAATCTATACTGATACTGATCAGAGATGAAGCAGGAAACCAGATGTGTGGACTGGCAGACAGTGAGGGAGGTGGAGATGCTCAGTTCCTGGTCGGGGTTGGTAGTGGCAGCAATTTTTTTTAAATGGGAAAATATTTGTACTTTTATTTATCATATCAGTTCCAGGTCCTACTCCCTCCACTCCTCCCATCCTCTCCACAATTCTCCCCCCCCACACACACACACATCGACTCCCCAGAGAGGGCAAAGCACATTGCTCCAAGGAAAAACAAAATCCCTCCCCATTATGTCCAGGCTGAGCAAGGTGTCCATCCAGAGAGAATGGTTTCCAAAAAGGCAGTACAACCAGAAGGAACAAATCCTGGTACCACTGCCAGTGGCCCTGCAGTCTGCCCCAGTCATACAACTGTCACCCACATTCAGAATGCCTCATTTGGTCCTAAGTTGGTCGCTTCCCTGTCAGGCCAGAGTTGATGGACTCCCATTAGCTCAGGTAAGCTGTCTCAGTGGGTATCCCTACCATGGTCTTGACCTCTTTGTTTATATTCTCAATCCTCCCACTCTTCAATTAAACTGTGAGAGCTCAGCCTAGTGCTCCACTGTGGGTCTCTGTCCCTGTCTCCATTAGTTGCTGAATGAAGGTTCTATGGTGACACTTAAGGTAGTCATCAATCTGACTGCTGAGCAAGGCCAGTTCGGGCACCCTCTCCAATATTGTATATGGTCTTAGCTGGGGTCATCCTTGTGGAATCCTAGGATGTTTTCTAGTTCCAGGTTTCTTGCTAGCCCCACAATCAAGATATATTTTTTCTTGCTCTCTGTCTCTGTCCTTCCCACATGTCAACTATCCTACTCCCTCGAGTGCTCCTCCCCCATGTCCCTTTCATCACCTCTTTCACTTTGGCACTCCATTCTCCACCACCCCCATGCTCACGATTTTGTCAGGATATCTTGTCTCTTTACCCCTTACCAGAGGTATATGTTTCTACTAGGGTTCACCTTGTTACTTAACTTCTCTAGCATCATGAACTATAGGCTTGTTATCCTTTGCTTTACAGCAAGTATTCACCTATGAGTGAGTACATACCATGTTCTTATTTCTGGATCTTGGTTACCTCACTCAAAACGTTTTTTTTTTCTGGTTCCACCCATTTACATGCAAATTTCAGGATGTCATTGTTTTTCACTACTAAGTAGTACTCCATTCTCTAAATGTACCCTATTTTCTTTATCCATTCTTCCCTGAAGGGGCATTTAGGTTGTTTCCAGCTTCTGGCTATTATAAATAATGCTGCTATGTGCATAGTTGAACAGATGTCATTGTAGTATCATGGAGCATCCTTTGGGTATATGCCCAGGAGTGGTATTGTTAGGTCCTGAGGTAGGTTGATTCCCAATTTTCTGAGAAACCACCATACTGATTTCCAGAGTGAATGTACAAATTTGCTTTCCCAAGGGGCAAGCCTATCATATTCAGTACAACAGAGGAATAACAGACCTCATGTGAGATCTCAACTTCAGACTCCACAGCACCCTACAATTAATGCACTGTTAGCCTGAGCTAAAGACAATGGAGGCTTTACAACTAAGAGGAGGGCAGGCAACTTAGAAGTTGAAATAACATAGACATTCTGCTTCTGAAAGGCTAGAAGTCCCCACGCCATCTTTGAAGAAAATGACAGTTGTATTTGGATGCCTTAGAAACAGGTCTAGAGCCACATCCATACTTCAGTTCTTGAGGACCTCTTTTCACCCATGACTACTTCTGTCTCACCTTAAGTTCCAGAAAGCTTTGATACTCCGCTGTTGAGACTGCTGAAGCCTCAGACACATTCCAAGTGCTTCTGAGGTCAGCCTTTCCTCTAGCTACAGGTGCAATGCTGGGAGGATAGTGATGGTGGGTCAGGTGTTGGGGACACAAGCTATCAACAGCCATCTCTGAGCTAGACATGGCAATGTGTTATGATGTGTGGAAGAAATTTCGTGGCTAAGGCATTGTGATTTGTGGAAAGAAGAGATGAGGACAAGGAGAGAAAAGAGGAGAAGGAAGGACAGTGGAGGAAACAGCAGAACAGTGCAAATTACTCTGGATGTGAAATCTCACAGTACGCACGTGTATATGTGAGATATTATTCAGTAATCCACAGTGGCACACCCTGTGTCAGGAAACCACTGGTCAAGTTTACTAACTTGGCTAGAGAATATCACCCAACAACTCTTTTTTTTTGCTTATTTATTTAAAGAATTTCCAGTTCCTCCCCTACTCCCAATACCCTCCCGCTCCCGCTTCCCCCATTCCCTCTCCTCCTCCCTCACCATTCCCAAGAGCAGTCAGGGTTTCCTGACCTGTGGGAAATCCAAGTTCCTCCCCGCTCCCTTCAACTCTTAACTCAGCTTAGAGAAGTTCTACCTGTGGGTGAGGGACTGAGTTAGTTTATGCAGTGTGGAGTCTCCGAGCTACTGGAGTTATCATCTTTATTGAGGTGCATTACAGGGAACAGTTAATCACCAGAACCTTGAGCATCTTTAAGGTCCTCTCAGAGAAAAGCTGTGACAGGGTGGGAACAGTCTGGAGACACATCAGGAGCATGCTGGCACGGGCTGGGAACAGGTTAGGATGGACTAGGGCAGTTGGGGTACACGTTGAGAAAGACTGGGGACAGTCTGGGGACAGGTTGGAACAGGCTGAGGACAGGCTGGGGTCAGGATCATACAGGCTGGACACAGGCTGCTGTTAGGCTGGAACAGGCTGAGTTAGGCTAGAGGCAAGTCTGGGGACAATTATTTTTTCATTCAGAAGGTAACAGAAAAGCTGACTTGAAGAATCTGACTCAGGCTGACAAAGCTTTTAAGCTATGTTCCCTTATCACTGCATTAACCCAGGACACATATCCAGAGGTTCTGGTGAAGACCGCAGGGGGTTTTGCATCAGGACGTCCATATGATACAATACCATGGGCCACCCCAGCACAGACTAGAGGTCCTCCAGAGTCTCCCTGTAGGTTACAAAATAAGCAGAGACTGAGAACAGATCACTTTCCCCCAACTACAGACCCCTCACAATAGCTAAACCCAGAGTGAGGTAAGGAGTTCTGGCTCCCTGTGAGCCATGAGTTAGGGCTTGAAATTTTTCTCCTGTCTTCACACGATGCTAAGGTTGTCCCCCTCACTCCCTTCTATTGCATTCCAGAACCCTGGGGGAAGGTTATAGGAAGGGCTTGGAAAGGGTGTGAGGCCTAGAGGGAAAACTGCATTTTCAAGAAGACTAGTAGCAAAGAACACAGGTGGAGGCCAATGCAGTGGAAAGATGATTGACCCACTCCCTTCGCTGACACTGTCTCCTGATGCGGGGAGGGAAAATATGTCAGTCCTCACCTCAAACACTGATTGTATGTTTCCTGGACGGCCCACACAGACCTGGAAGTCATCTGTGTAATTCGAGTAGATCTTACAAACTTCTTTTCCCATGATTCTCAGTGTCACCTCCCTCAGTTTGACTGACAGTGGTTCTTTCACTCCAGTTTTGCCCCATCCAGCTGCCAGGCACAGACGTCCAGGTTTAATAGAGTCACGTGGACTAGGAAGGAGAATTTTAGCCACAGCAGAAGTGATCTTAGCTTTTCTTTGAAGCTGCGGAGAGGAAGGAGAGAAGGCATGGTAACCCAGAGAAGGATGATGTCTTGGGCATGGGTCCTTTCCTACTGGTTTGGTAAAGACAAGGAATTCATGGTTGAATTCTGAGGAAATGGGTTGAACAAGAGAGAATTTAAAGGCCTGAGACAAGAAAAGAGTTAAAGAAGGAGAGTTAAAAGGGCTGGAAAAATAATGGCACCTTCAGCAGCATGATGTCATTGAGGTGAGGATACACGTTGTACTGTGGGTGAGCGATTTGCTTTTCGACTTTTATCTTCTGCTGTGTGGGTTCTGTCTTGCTCACATCATGAGCCCCAAGAGTGACAATAATTTCTCTGTTGAAAGAGAAAAAGAGGCAGTAAAAGTGCTGGTCCCAAGAGGAGGACTCATTTCAAGCAGAAGGACACCAGGTCTTCTCTATCTCACAGCAGAGTCACTTGAGAGACGCCAATTGTAGTTGGGACGAAGGTCCCAGGACCACAGACTTCCCAGTAGCTATGAGCTCAGGAAAACCCAGTGCTGAGAACTGGCTCTGCCTTCTAGTATATGGACTGAACCCATGGCTTTGACAGGCGTCCACTGGAGTCACACACCAACACAAAGCTAAGAGCTCTGGTGACACCAGGACAAGAGGTAAGCGGCACTTTGTCCCTAACAGAAACCAGCTTAAAGCTCTGTCCTTTGAAAATGGAGTTGACACAGAAAATTGTTCAATGAATGGCCTTTCATTTCCTTTGTCTTCACATTATAAGTAAGAGTCCATCTGGAGGTGAGCAGGGCTAAGACCTTTCCTCAGGTCCCTGCCCCTTTGTGACTCCAGTTCGTGCATTTCTTCACACAAAGAGAGTCACCTACCTTCCTTTACAGTGAGCAGCCGTCATCACAAATTCTTCATTTATGAGAAACCCTCCACAGTCGCTAGTGGTAACTCTGTCAATGATCTCCAGATGGGCCATATATGGGCGGGAGTGTGGTTTTGACTCCACACCACCAATAATCTCCTCTGAAACAAAGAACGCCATGTCCCTGGTCACATATTTGCAGGACATTCCAAAACAGTGGCAGCAGAGGAAATGGGGCTAAACCTGAGTGACTGCTCCCCATCCCACCCCACCTCTCATGGGGTCAGGCTCCTCCAAGCATCCTCATCTTTCCTCCCTGTTGATCTTCCTCCTCAGCCCTCCCTATCCACCATCATCCTACATTTCAGAACACAGTGATCATTCATGTTTCTGATGCCAGTTCATTTAGATAGTTCTTCACCTCTCATCCTGTCTTCCTCAACACTGCTGGAAGGACAGAGAAGAGCTGCCTATCAGAACAACATGTATTCTGATGAAACAAGGTGAAGGGAAAATAATTTTTCATCCCTCCCTGACTGAAGAGAATTTCTGGAAGACACAAGGAAGACCATGCTTATCAAAGGATATGAAGGAACAGACCAAACTCACCAGCTCCAGCTCCAGGAGGCAAGAGAAGGGCCAACAGGAAGAGTAGGGCCTGCATTTTCCCCCTGGTGCAGTCTATCCTCGGTCTCTGCTCTGTGCCTACCTGGTCCCTGCTTTTATACTTCCAAAGCAGGAGAAAGGGAGGGCTGGAAACCACCAACTTGGCCTGGTCAAGCTTTATCTTCCTAATCAGAAATTCTCATGACTCTGCTGTTGTTGAATCTGTGACCAGATCCTGAGAGTCCTGGGTCCTGTGATAAGGTGTCTTCTCCACCCTCCAAAGCTGATCCTCAGAGACAGACAGCAACACAGATCCTGGGGGACCTGTTCAGGGATCAGCCAGTTTATTGTAGATTTGAGGTCCCTGTAGTGTATGTGTAATGATCCTCCTCTGTCGTTGTCGCACAAACACAGGCATCTGCGGTGTGTGGAACATAAGGGTGTGAGTGTGTACGTTCTACTTACAAAGCCTGCGGTGGGCTCTTTGAGCCTGATGGACTTCATATGTGTTGTCAAGGGGGATGGTATCTCGGATTCATTTTAATGAGTAGTAGATGATAGAATGCGGTTGAGAAGGAAGAAAGAATGGGGAGAGTGTATTGAATATACAGATACCAGGTAGGATGGACACCGTCAGATGTTAGTTCTCACCCCTCCTAATGCTGTGAGCCTTTAATGCTGCTCCTCATGTTGTGATGAAATCCAACCATAAAATTATTTTTGTTGCTACACTACAGTAGTTTCAGAATCTTATGGATTTCAGTTCCAGTGGGACGAACAGAAAACACCTCCGAAGACATAAACTACCACATCTATGCTCTCTGTGGGATCTCAGGGTTTCTGTCTATACACTGAGAGTCGTATATGCTTGATAACAACATAGCATCTGTGCAGATCAGTATTTGAGGCCGTACTTGGTGCTTTCATTATTTCATGTATCACTGGAAGTCAAACAGTGCTCTCAGCTAAACAGGAGCATATTCTTGATTAGAAATTTTATACTTGATTATTTGATTACAAGCTGAAATCCTATGCATCTTGGAACAATTGACATATCATTACATCTCTGGTCTCAACTTTATTTAGATCCCGTACACCCTGAGTATAACTGTTTCCATTTTATAGATGAGGAAATCAAGCCTTAGATAAATATCAAAGTCATTAAATACTAAAAGTTGATCTCAATTCAGTAGATTAACTACTATTAATCTACTTAACTCCATTCCAATAACTCTTCTTCATGCCTGCTTTGCTTGATTGCTAAAACAAAGCAAGAGCAAGCGAACAGAAGGATCCTGAGGAGGTCAGTTCACCTCTCTACAAGCTAAGTGATGAGCTTAGAACAGATCCCGTGTGTTACACTGTACACATTATATGTTATATGTTATACGGCTCACATATGTTGCACCGCTCACGTATGTTAGGTTGCTCACATGGGTTACACCATTCATGTATGTTGCACTGCTCCTGCATGCTGAACCACTCACATAGGAAGCACTGCTCATATATGTTATATTGCTTAAGTATGTTGTACCGCCCCCCTCTTATGCACAGCTTAAATGTGTTATATCACTTATATATTGTACACTGATTGCATACATATATTACACCACAAACGTGTGCTACCACACTCATGTAGGTCCTCTGGATTGGACCCTGCAGAATAGAGATCCTCACTGAACCTAAGAACAGGGGGCCTTTCCTGTTCACCAGTCTAGACATTGTTAAAGATCTCACAGATGCTGTTGTAAATGAAAAGAGAAGTAGGTGTAGGCGTGACATGATTATTTATGGCATGCAGAGGATTGTTGCCACTTAACCATTGTCAGACATGGTTATCTGCATTGAAAGATAACGCTTTGTGTGACCAAGCAGTATAACCTCAGAGCATAAGAGTAAAAAGTGGTTAGTTCATTTTGTCTAAGTACTCAAGAACATAGGCAAAGAAAATGAAGGGCTTTGAATAGTGTTTTGTCTAAATAAGGACAAGGAATTTCTCTAAAACAAAGGTAATTTATTTTGAGGAATTTTCAAAGAATAAAACATCATGTAATTGGATTAACGTAGCATCCCAAACAAGCACTTGTCCACAAGCAAAGACTATATGTCTCAATCAGCTATACAGTTGGCATGAGCATTCTGGAGTCTTAGAGCTTGGAAGAAAAATTCTAGATCTGTAATAAAAAGAGTTATTAATTATTGTACAGAGCCTCAACAAGTTCCCAAGATTGGGCCTGAACATCAGATCTCCATGCATGATAGAGACTGAGTGCCCTTGAATAAAGTCCTGAACCCACCCAACTTGTATTTCCTTCCTGTGCTGCTCCCCCAGAGATACAACAGGCTGTCTAAGAAGAATTATATGGATTATAGGAAAAAATAGAAGGTTGTCTTTTATTCTTGTTTATTATTTCAGACAGGATCTATCTGGAAAATACTTTGTACCCCCCCCCAAATTATCCTGTGAATCCACAGTTAGGGAATTGGCTTTGGAGATGGCTCACTCACTGGGTCCCACATGAAGTCTATCTTTCTTTCTAGTTCCTGATGAGAGGTAGGAGAGAAATAGTCCCCAATTGTCATTATCCCTGTTGTGGTGGCCTGATTCAGGAAGTGGCCTTAAAGACAAGTGGAAAACACCACATCTACCTACCAAAAGCCAACCAGAGCAATGTTATACAAGGGGTTATCCAGGGGTCAGTGAAACATGTATTGAACACAGAAGAAAAGGTGATTCCTGCTATAGCTCCTTCTAGCATATTCTTTTGCATCTTAGAGAACTACAATGAATTATTGTAAACTTCTCCAGGTGGCAACTCTAGCTGTATTAACTCTTAGTGTAAGTTTTATTATTGCTGCAAATGGTACATTCATTGCAGCTATCACTTTGAGGAAAACATTAGCATGCATCTTTAGGAGCAGTAACATCTATTGCAGAGAGACCAGTCATATTACACTGATGGTATCATGCTCATTGGACTCGGAGTGAAGGAGATAGAAACTACTATAGACAGCTAGGGAAGAAGCATTTTTACCTCAAAGTAGGAAATAAATCTAAAATGTCGTGGAATAAGCATTTTGTATACTGTGAAGACGTGTCTCTGCCAAGGCTCCTTCTGATTGGTTTTAAAAAGAGCTGACTCATCAATGGATAAACAGCAGAGGATAGGCACCTACCTCACTCAGGATGGTT